TTAAAACCTCGAACAACGTAATGGGTTACGCATTAGAAATATTGAAACAACCTGAAAAAGCTTAGAAATGCAAAATAAAAGTATCTCTTCTGAAATATCTGTTACATCGTACATGTCAAACTTCGGCTTATCTATATAACATGCGGTTAATATTTAAACAATTTTTATAACAAATAATTTAAAAAGAAAATTAATTTTCCTTTTGTGTCAAAACTATATTATGTTAGTTAGGGTTAGTTTAGTAGCGGCATATTCAAAAATCATGTACAGATAATTTCTGCTAAGACCAATAACAAATTATAGTACGAAATCCGAGTCACAGTTAATTTTAGAAACTAAATTTAAAACTTGGATGATATAATCAATTAATTAATTATTGGGCTGCAGTTAATATTTAGTGTATTTTAATTATATAGGCCCCAAGCAGTAGACCCAAGCTGCAATTGGCATATTATATAAGTTATATAGCCTTTAAGTAGGTACATGCCAAGGTTTATAGATGATAACTATAAACTTTGAGTACATACTAGGGAGGTACTATTCCTGATTTTAAAATAACTTTAATTTAAATTAAGATATTTACTATGATTACAATTTACAACTAACTAATAATTATTATTATCAATTTGTTATCAACTGTTATTCTTATCATCTCGATTTAACACAAAATAATGAAAATATYATGTGTAAGTAAGTAGCAGCAGCTGACTAGACAGATGACCTTAATTGTTTTGTTTAGGAAAAATTAGAAATAATATTTTGTTATTGTTATTGTGAATTGTGATATGTAATTAGAATTTATTTTGATTGTGATCTATTGAGTAGTATAAACTATAAAGTAGAACAAAAATAAATTTCCTTTTTATAAAAAGTGGTATTACATTTTATTTCATGGTAAATGTATATAAATCATTAAGTGTGTAGTCTTTACTCTTTGGTGATTGTTTTTTCAGTTAAATACAGAGGAAATACATTTTATGTTAACTTCATAATATACAGTATTACATTACTAAATCAAACAATATTACCAAATAATGCTGTAAGTTATGTTATTTATGTAATTTGATTATATCCATTAGAACACTTTTACTTTTCTCACAAAGTGATATCATTACAGGGTTAAATCCATCGATAATTTAATTTTTACCAGTGAAAAAATAACTATAATCTATCTTTTAGAAAGCTAGTTTGTGGTTTAAAACTGTTATAATACTTAAACCATAAGCATGTAAACATAATATACAATAATATTACCCATTAACTAAAGACAGAATTTATTTTTATTTTTTGTCAATGCTCAAAAATCAATAAATATACCCTTACGGTCCAAATATTTTGTTTTGCATTTTCTTTTTTCATTCATTTATATTTGATGTGTATTTTTATTAATAAAATACATTGTATATTTTTTAATTGTGTCGGTAATCTATATCTATTTAAAAAAAGTATTAGATTTATTGTAGGTAATTTATAAATATTATAATATATTCTTATGCTATAATATTGCTAAGCAATATAACATATTATTATGTCAATATGTATTAGATGTTGTTATTTTACTTGAGTATATTCAACTGCTTAGTTCTTATACCTCAATATATTTGATACCTAATTTATTGTTTAATTTAAACAATATTTTCTATTTTTTCAGATTGTTTTCATTTAAACTTGTACTGAACTGAAGGCAACAAACATAATATTTATCAAATACTATAACATTACATTGGAGGCTGCTTACTAAAAAGAAAATGTCTTTTCAATCATTAGACCTTCTTCTTAAACAAGCAGATGTATCGGAAAATAAAAATTTTACAAAAAAAACAGATAAGATTAATTTACAAACACCATTTGGTCTAAATGATTTAATGTTTGATGACAATGAGTTATATTCATGTGACCAAAACCTTCCATCTTCAATGTCACAACTACATCTTGACAACCAAATGACTGGTGAATGTCAAAACATATCAGATTATATAAGCAAACATTTATCATTATTATCTACAGATGATMCTAAACTTTCAGTTGTTGAAAATTCAAATAATATTGAACCAAAACTACCTCTATCTGACATAAAAAGTGCAAGTTTCATAAATAACATAAAATATCAAGATAAAACTATCTCTAAGGAACGTCTAAAAAATAAAGGTGGCTATATTAAAAAATATAAAATATTCCGTACTAAATCATTAGCAAAGGTTCGGAATTCACCTTTAGAAAAACCAGATTCAGGCTTAAGCTTAACATTGGGACGAAAATACCCAAAATCAAGTTTAAACTTAATGAATAATTATCTCTGTAATGTATTAATCGAAACACGAAGCCGTGGGTTCAGATTTAACACCCCTTCTCCGGACGAATCAGTGTTATCTTGGATGGATATTGTTAGACAAATGCCCAGTAAATAAAATGTTTGATGTTCATAAACTCTAAAATAAATTATTTATAATTTTGATACTGTATAATGTATTATTTTGACAAATTGGCTGTAAATGAATGAAAATGAATGATGAATAATATTGAAAATTAGACCATCATTGGGTAAAATACCATTCAGTCCTTATCTATATATGTATAGGTTCTTTATAACATTTGCATAATACTTTTATAAATGATTGGATAATATTTTGATTGGTTAGTTACTAAATATATACCAAATATTAATTATCAACAAATTTGATGTTTCATCAAATGTGATATATTGCTAATTTTAAGATATTTCTTTTTTAACCCTGATATATTATACTGTGATCTTAACTATACAATTTTAATAGGTAGTTTTATATTATATTATTTATAATTTTATAATAATACCTACATAAGATCACCAATCTAAAATAACTGGTTCAATMTATTACTTTTACCTCCCTTGAATCATTAAAATTTGTCTATAATTATGATTCAAATAGTATATTATCTTGATTAATTTTTAAAAATACTCAGTAACTGAATTCGGTAGAAAATTTAAGGACTTCAGTAAAACCTTTGAGAGTTGAGTTCCTATATGCTATTTTAATGTCATATAGATAATAGGACTCTTTTATTTTATAAAAACATTGTAGGGTTTTAAAAATTATTTAATATTTGAAAATATTTACAATTTATCATAGTATAGTCAGTTAGAACAATTTTTATTAATATTAAAATTTCCTCTTCTTAATGGAAGCTATAGTTTTGCTCAATTATGTTACTAGGATTTACAATGCTATGATTAACATCACTCTAACAGCTCGACAATATTTTTAAGAAAAATTTCAAAATGCCTAAAACTATAAGATTAATACAACAATGCAATATGTAAATATTCTTGTTATTACTTTGGCAAATCAAAAAATAATATACTTTGTCAATGTGCTCAAAAAATATACAGAGACAAAAACATAACTTGATATTGAATTCAAATCAAAATTTTTCAATAAAAATACTACTAAAAATGTTAATAATCTTTATAACAATTTACATGTCCAAAATTCATTGGAAAACAATCCTCTTTACTCGTGTCTGTAAGCACACAAATCACCTTTGGTGAATATATTCTATTATTTCTATTACCATTTATATTTATGAATTATAMACTTCWCATAGTATGTATAAATGTTTTTATTTATTCAAAATCTAAGTATAACTATTGTATAAAATATGTGTTATTGTATCAAATTTGTTAGTATAATAAATCTATTTTTGCTATATAAATTGTATTTTAAATTATTTATAGTTTTCATTGTGCTTAATTACTACCAGAAGCAGATTTTAAGAGTAAGCAAAAGAAAAATGTGCAACCATAAGTAATTGCCAAGTAAAAGTTAACTAAAACCATTTTTATTAAAGTTTTGTCAGGCATCTCGATTAAACCTTTAGATCTACCGACTACCACTCGTTACTTGTAAGTAATTACAGTAAAACCTCGGTTATACAAACGTTATTTCATTTCAATTCATGCATCCAAACGTTAATGGATAAAATATCACAACGCACAAGACTGGTTAGTTTATTAGCACCTAGCAGCAATTTGTTGAATAAAAATCRATCAACTTGTCAAAAATTCAAAAACAAAGAATAATACATACATTATTAAATTATAATAATAATTAATAAGTCTATAATATTTAATGATATTCTTGTATTCGTAATAAGTACACAATATGTAATGTACTAATGTCTTATTGTGTAATAATGAGTATAAGTTGATAATAATTTGCRACTATATATTCATTATACAATTAATATTTTTTTTWAATTTTTATTAACCGAAATAATTAAAAATTAGGTGAGATYCCAATTCCMAATTAGTTCGGATAATCGAGGTTCTATTACAATTCTAATTAAAAATGTTTGGAATAATAATAAAATTGTGAAATCTCACAAAATTGACACGTGGCCAATTTACATTGTACTCTGTTAACTTTTTTATTTGAGTTAATTTTTATCTTTTAAAATGTTTGGMGTTTTCAAATTTAGCAGCATTGTATAGAAAAGTAATTAACGGTAATTAATTAGAAATTAATAATTGAAAAGTAACTAATCGACTGAGTGTGCTTGGAAAATAACAGTGGGAAATTTTTGAGTTATAAAAATAAGCTTACACAAAAATATTATTCCAATGTAATTTACATTTTATTTCACGATACAAGTGTCCAAACCCGTAAAAAAATTACCTATTCGTTTTATGTATTTGACAAAATTATAAAAATCTAATTACTTGTAAATTTCAAAAACTAGTCCGTAGGTTGTAACTCGGCTAATTTTAGGTTTAGGTTTATGGTTAATACATCAAAATTCCGTTGAAAATATTTATCTATATCTGGTGACGAAAAATAAGGTTAATAATATTGTTATTAATTTATTATACCTTAAGAGGATCCTACACAGCCATTTGTTTTCTCCATCTTACAAGTGCATAACATTGAAAATTTACGCTCAGCAGATCACGTTTAGCTCCATTAGTTTAAAAAATAGAGTGAATCGACAATCGACCTATTATGAAGCTTGATGTTAAGAACATTATCTGTGTTTGTATGTGGGTTTTTTACGACAGTTCAATTTTGTAGCTAGTTATGCGTATGTAAAAAAGCATAAATTAAATTAAAAATGCTCATAACTCACTTAAAAACTATGTTATTGTAAAAACCCACATACAATGTACAAACACAGATAATGTTCTTAACATCAAGTTTCATAATAGGTCGGTCACTCTAATTTTTAAACTAACAGACCTAATAAACGTGATCTGCTGAGCKTGCATTTGCCATGTTACGCACTTGTAAGACGGAGACAACAAATATTCGTATAGCGTATTTTTAAGAAACTCAAGTTGTATTGCGCATACGCAAATCCAGAGTTAAATTATTTTTAATTTTTGATGATGAATTGATGAATATATTTTTTTAGATATCAGAGATAACTGGAKTTCAATCTAAAATCATCAGGCTAAGATATTTAGTGGCCCATATAAGTTATAGCGGGACGGGACACACTTAAATATTATATTTAAAAACTGGAAACAGAGTTAAAATAAATTTATCATTAAATGAAAAATAGGTTCACGGCAGGCTCACTGACTCCTATTTGTTTGGTGAATAAAACTATCTATTTATTATTATAAACTAAATAATAAGACTTRATAGTAGAATTCGAGCATCTAGTCATTATTTATTAATATTCAGTAAGACAGTAACGTAAATTTTTTTGTAAATTTTAATTGTACCAAAAATAATATGATAATTAAAYAACATAAATTTGGCGGTTCAAATGTTCAATCGCAGTTATTACCGTACTATGATTACGGAATAATGTGGTTGGAACCAATGAACGAACGTTGGAACGTAATATTATTATTTTATGGTTACACAACAAGCCCACTTTGGCAGTTTGGCGACACTGTCATAATATCCGAAAGTTGAAAACGTTTCGTTCGTGTTGTTTACATGTTTTAGATTTTTTTATCGTTTCTCCTCCGTTTCTCTGGCATTAGTCTTATTATTATTATTACTATTAGTTATTACTATTAATATTTATTTAGTGGCCATAAACGGCTGAACATATTGCAACGAATGCAATGCGCCAACACTACTTGACAGAATTCTACAATCGTTCACTGCAGCCTTGTTTAATTTTAATCTCTTTACTATGATTATTGTCGACATCCGTGCATCTACTTTATCGGACTGATTTTCCAAACTAACTTCTTTGAGTTCCTCCGGCCGGCAATCCTTATCGATGGGTGAGTTTTCCCGATTTWTATCGAGACTATATTATATTTTAGTCTCTTAACACTTTCCAAATTACCATGTGTATAAATAATTAAACAAATTATTGTATTAAAAGGTTTAGGTAGATCTGAAATCAAATACTGAGGCCTGAACGCATGTTACTAGTGAAATTATGTCGGTCCATTACAAATTTAAATCCGCCATTTCTTATGATACAATCACGTTCGATGGTCTTCACATATCCGTGAGAGATTTGAAAAAGGCTATTCTTCATCAAAAACAAATTGGCAAGAACACAGATTTCGATTTACAGGTCACCAACGCTCAGACTAATGAAGGTAAGGCTAACAAACAATAGTGTATTTATACTTTGTTTATTATATATTTTATGTCAGGGTTTAAAAATTGGCTAAAATTTTTCAAGCATATTCATGAAAGCGTGTTGAACTGAGGTCATTGATTTGTCACCAAACCATATTTCTGACCAATAATAAATTAAGTCAGATAATGTCTATCTCTAAAAATTTAAATGGTTTATTCTAAAAACAATATAGTTTCTTATCATATTTTGTGTCTTGTGGACAAACTATATTTATGTCTACTTTTTTTTGTTTTAAATTTTATATATAACCTATTATATTTTTATTTTTAAAATGTTATAACCCCTATAGGTTCTTATAGATGTATAAAAAATTTGAAATAATTTATTATACATATTATATTTTTTATTCAACATCGTAAGTTAAAAAAAAATTTCTCTAAGGATTATTTTTAATCTTTTGTAAATCTTATATGAATAATAAAATGAGAAAAATATGATTGTATCATTCTCTTAATAATAGTTAATGTGTGATTAATTTTACTTCTTAATGTAATTTTATTACCTATATAAGCAGTAAAAATTAAGTATTTWATTAAATGTGAATTGATTTTTTATTATTTTTATTTGACAGGTTAAAAGTAATAGGGATACTTAACTAGGTACAAATTAGTATCTTATTGCTCTTATAAGCGTCAAATATTATGCATGTCATATCTTGGTTTTATTTTATATATATTGTTTTATCCACATTAAATTAAATTTAAATAAATAWTTCTAATTATTGTTTTAGAATATACCGATGACCAGACATTAATTCCAAAAAATACATCTTTAATTGTTTCGAGAATACCACTTACAACACAACAAAAAAAAGCATGGTATGTATTTTTTTTTTTTGCATTTAATAATGAAAACTACACTTTA